TGAAAAATATTGTTTAAAAATTAATTCTATTTCGAACAAAATTGTTTTAAATTATTTCCATTTCGAAAAAAATTTCCATCTTGAAAAATATTGTTTAAAAATTAATTCTATTTCGAACAAAATTGTTTTAAATTATTTCCATTTCGAAAAAAATTTCCATCTTGAAAAATATTGTTTAAAAATTAATTCTATTTCGAACAAAATTGTTTTAAATTATTTAATTTCTTTTTATTAATGCACATCGATTTTGATACTGTTTCTGACTGCATGATTATTCGTATAAAATAGAGAGAATTGTCCATTGATACTTATAAAAACTAAGAATACCAAGTGAAAATTGTTCATTTTCTTTCATTTTCAAAACTATGGTAGTTATTGGTAATTTACTGTTGATCTATAAGGTGGGCTCTCCACTGTTTCTGCTATAGATATGACGTAACTTTTACAGAGCTCAGCGTCTCTATCAACTACCAAGAGTTTTTTTATTTCTTTTTTCTGGTCTTTTTATTTATACTCGCAACACTAAAACTCTTATTGCTATCTTTCTGAACTTCCCATTACGAGGTTGCAAGTGGTGTTCAGCCAATTTTTGTTAACTGAGGTTTATGTGAAAAGTTTTCAACACAGGCGACACTTTCGCTGTATGATAATTTGTTTCGATTGAGCTAGGCCTAAAAATTGTCCAAAATATAGTGATTGTTAGGGTTACCGACAGTTCTAAGTTCACAAAAACAAATTATCATAACAAATTTCTCAATAATGACCCAACATTACTTTAACATCATGCATCAGTAAGTGTGAGTTATGCGCTAAGTATATGAAATATACGTAAAATTGACATTTGTGTATTCTCCAGTATACATTTTTCAGTTTGATGTAAAGCATTGATTTTGAGTACTAAATACAAGTGTAAAAAAAATCTAATTATTTATATTGTTTTGTGTTGAAATACACTTTCTGTGGAATTATCTTAACAATTTTCTTTCCATAGGGTTAAGACTAAACTTACAATGACTCACCAGAGGGATCCTATGACGTCGACTTCTTTGTCCAAAGACCAAGTGGCGCTGATGTTCCGGGAAAATTGGGAAGCTAAAAATCCAAATGATACTTCAGGAACGAGTTACAACCCCTCCCCTTATGTAGACGATGGGCTAACTAGTCTAAATTGGCTTCAGAACTTAAACATCATGACAAGATTGGGTGCTCCGACTCCATCCACACCACCCGCAAGTCCACTTCCGTCCAGTGATCATAAACTTTTAAAAAGTGAGTCCAGCTGGGAAAGTGACCAATCAGCTGATGAACCAGACTTTAAGAAGGACGCCACAACCAAGCCACCGTTTTCCTACGCCACTCTTATCTGTATGGCAATGAAAGCTCACGGAAATAAGATGACCCTTTCAAACATCTATAAATGGATCCAGGATAATTTTGTTTACTACAAAAATTCAGATATCAGTTGGCAGGTCAGTTATAAGCCTTTTTTATTCAAAGTCCTAAACCGTAACTAGGTTCTATTTCACAGCTCTCTGCAATGTTCCAGTGGAAGACTATTTCATATGGAAGGTTTTAACGGACTACACCCACCTGCTATAAACAGAGTCATTTCACAAAAAAGGCTTTTTGAGTGAGGGGGGGGGGAATAAGACCTACTTTGCTTGCCCCCTCCAAAAAAATAATTAAATTGGGGCTCTACAATTTGCGTATATGTGTGTTAATGTCTCACAAAAACTACCATTTTGAGCCCTTGAGATGGTGGCCACCCTGTTGATCCCCCAGATTATACAGATTGTTTGAGGACCTGAATAAGTCCTGTGCTAATAAGTCGCAATCTGCTAAAATCTTCTAGATGCCTGTAAATTAGTATTCTGTTGCATTATAAGAACCAATGCCAATTTTGTTACATGATAAATATCTAATATAATAAAACCACATCCGACTTTACTTGCCAAAATAAATGTTATAACTTCATTATGCCAGTTTATTCTCCATTCAAGTGTTTAAGCTCATTTTATACTTGATACAATTGTATTTTTCATATGAGCAGAATTAGGGGTTTTATTTTCGGTGTTGAACTGTAAGTTATGTATTCTGTTGACACATTCAGGGCCCGGCATGGCCAGGTGGTTAGGGCGCTCGACTCACAATCCGAGGGTCGCGGGTTCGAATCCCAGTCACACCAAACATGCTCGCCCTTTCAGCC